ATTTCTACTTCTCGCTTTTTAAGGAGGCACCATATCGTTTTCCATAGTGGTTGTACCATTTTATATTCCCACCAGCAATGCATAAGAGTTCCAATCTCCCTGCAACCTCGCCAACACTTCTTATTTTCGTTTTTTTTTAATCAGTGCCAGTATTGTTGGGGTGAGATGGTATCTCATTGTAGTTTTGATTTGCATTTCTCTTAATGGCTAATGATTGTGAGCATTTCCTCATGTGTCCATTAGTCGCCTGAATATCTTCTTTGCTAAGAAAAGTAAGCTTTAAAAAAAAAAAAAAAAGCACTTAAATGGGCTACATGACCACGGGCAAATGCAAAAGACTAGAACTGTCCTAATAGGATGGCTAACGACAAGAACAGGAGTCCCTGGTGGCACAAACATTAAGCTCTTAGCTACTAACCAAAAGGTTAGTGGTTTGAATTCACCCAGAAGCAACTCAGAAGAAAGAGCTGGTGATCTACTTCTACAAGATCACAGCCATTGAAAACCCTATGGAGCACAGTTCAACTCTGACACACATGGGGTTGCCATGATTCAGAATCAACTCAAGGCAATGCTTTTTTTTTTTTGGTAAAGACAAGAATAAGCTGAATATTTTGAAACATATTAACATGTTTAATAACTATTTTCTAAAAAGAGGTTATGTCTAACAAAGAGTAAGTAAAAGCCTGCTGGCAGAGGCACAACAGTATCATGTTAGCAGCTGAAAAAAGCAGACAACGTGACCACCTCCATTCAGCATCCGTTCTTCAGCGGAGCAAAGTGTCTTCAAATTGGAAAAGTCTTAGTAAATGCCCCCATAAGGGACCGGAGAGGTGGTGGGAGAGCACCCAACTACCCTGGATGCATGTGAGTCTCTGGACCCAGACGAGTAATGTCCCAGAGTCCTGAAAGAAGTCAGCAACACTACTGCATCACTGGTGCCAGGCACATGTGGGCAATCAGAGAGACCACGTGAAGGAAGAGTGAGAAAACTGGAGAAGTGTCAACACCTCTTCTGAAGAGCTAGCTTTGGAGTCAGGTGTAAAATCAAAATCTGGCTGCCTCTTCCTAGCTCTACAACTCCATAGGGAATTTATTAATTTTTCTGAGCTTCTACTTCCTGATTTATAAAATGGAAATAATAATAAATAATTCCCTGAGTGTTGGTGAAGAGTGAATGAGAGTGATTATAAAATGTCTAATCAGCTGCCTGGAATACTGAAAGCACTCAATAAACACGTGGCAGCTACACACACATTTTATAAAAGGCTGGGTCTAAACACTGGACACCAATATGTCTGATGTTATTTTTATACTCAATTTACCCTTCACAATTTAAATTTGGGATTCTAGATTTGTCAGTAAGGAGCAGGCAAGAAACACTGACAAGGTACCTGAAGGGCAGAACTGGAAAAGGGCTGGAGGAAGAAGAAAACACCCTTCAGAATACGAGATTTGTGAAGAGCCGCCATGATGGTCTCATCAGGGGAAGACGTTATTCTCTTTAAGAGGGGAAGAATTCTCCTTGGAGAGAATGACAACAAATACAGTACTGCAAGCTGTTCAATTTTTTTTTATACTGACTCACAGGAATAATCCAGGGATAGGCACTACTGTCCTGGAGTGTTTTATGAGCATCTGGAACTCTTGTTTTCAGCCAGCAATGTAAGTACAGGAAACCCTGGTGATGTAGTGGTTAAGTACTATGGCTGCTAACCAAAAGGTCAGCAGTTTGAATCCACCAGTCATTCCTTGGAAACCCATGGGGCAGCTGTACTCTGCCCAACAGGGTCGCTATGAGTCAGAATCGACTCAACAGCAATGTTTTTTTTAAAGTAAGTACTTGAAGAAGTGGGGGGTGGGAGGGATGAAAGCTAATGTTAGTAGAATTCTGCTAAGAAACTTAAACAGTGTGTGAAGTGAAGATTAGGAAAGGAGAAAAACAAACAAAAAACAAGCTCAAAGGCAACCTCTAGCCATCCATAAAAACTCTTCCTATAGTATCATTCCTGCTGAAAACACACTGCCAGTCAACTGAGGATGTAAGGTCCCACATGAAAATGGCAATGAACCAAGCAACGTGAACTATGATCAAAGAGACTCACAAGTATTTTCATTTTCCTTTATCTTGATATTATTTTCTAATCAGCTGCAAGCAGCTTTTTATCTAAGGGCTTACAGTACAGAGATTAGGAGAGTATGTTTTGAGTCCTGGTCCCATCCTCATTACCAATGTGACTTTTGGCAACTTACATAACTTAGTGCCTCAGTTTCTTCACCTGTAAAACAATTATGACTACTTCGTAGGGTGGTTGTGAGGACTAGATGAGTTACATGTAAATGCTCAGAACACTGTCAAGGCACGACGTAAGTATGTGTCATTATTATCTCCTTGAAGTATAGGCAGTCACATTACCAAAAAGATGTTTTAAAAAACCCCTTTACAAATGAGAAGAAAAAATAATATGTCTCTAGAGGCCTGAAAAGCCCAATGGGGACAGAGACCCAGGTCCAGTTTACTGAGAGGACCATTAACAGCTATGCTAGCTTCTGAACTGGGTGATATTGCCGAGAACTGTTTAATATTTTCTCATTCTCCATCCAGGGCTCGTGCTGACTGAGATTTATGCATGAAGACGTTCAATTAAACATTCTATTTTTTACACTTGTATTTATTGTTTTTTTATTATGTAATACACAGACTCAGCATGAAATTCAAACAATACAGAGTTTATAGGGTGCCATGGATTGAACTGTATCCCCAAAAAATGTATGTCAACTTGGCTAGGCCATGATTCCCAGTATTGTGTGACTGTCCACCATTTTGTCATCTGATGTGATTTTCCTATGTGGTGTAAATCCCATCTCTATGATGTCGATGAGATGGGATTAGCAGCAGTTATGTTAATGAGGCAGGACTCAATCTACAAGACTGGATTGTATCTTGAGCCAATCTCTTTTGAGATATAAAGGAGACAAGTGAACAGAGAGACAGGTGGACCTCATACGACCAAGAAAGCAGAGCCAGGAGTGTGCGTCCCTGTGCTGAGAAGCTCCTTGACCAGGGGGAGATTGATGACAAGGACCTTCCTCCAGAGCCGACAGAGAGAGAAAGCCTTCCCCTGGAGCTGACACCCTGAATTTGGACTTCCAGCCTACTAGATTATGAGAGAATAAACTTGTTTGTTGAAGCCATCTATTTATGGTATTTCTGTTATAGCAGCAGTAGATAACTAAGACATAGGGAAAAGAAAATTTCACTTCCTCTCCTGCCCGAGGCCACCTGGTTCCCTGTCTGAGGTTACCTGTTCTGATATATGCTTCCAGAAATGAAGCACCATTTAAAACAGGGGAAAGCTATAGTATACCCAACCAATTGGTTATTATTTGTCATGAGAAATGTTGTTATGAGAAATATTTAATAGCATACAAAATACTCTATATTGGTAACCGAAAAAAAAATACAAAATTATATATAAAGTATGATTCCAATTCAGTTTAAAAATGTACATTAAAAACATGGAAGAAATATGCCCAAGCATTTGAAGTGGCTGCTTCTGGGTTATGAGATTAAGGTTGGTTTTCTTGCCTTGTAGCTATCAACCTTAAATAAATAAATAAATAAAACTTCAATGGTGTTCTAAACTGAACACCCATTTCACAACCAGGAAAAAAATTACTCTGATGTCAGAGCATCTCTTATTACTTAATGTGGCCACCAAATCAGAAAACAACATCTGGCTTCAGAGTGTCACTATCTTAAAGGTTTTCTACCTTCTCCCATTTCCATTATAAATTTGAGGAAATAATACAATTACAATTATAAAATGACAAAGACTTTTTTTTTGTTTTAAATGAACACTTCATGTCTTACATCATCAAATAATTGTTATTTTCAGAGTAGGTAATTACCTTTGGAGACCACATGCTTATTCTTAGCACAGGCAAGCTCAGAGTCCTTTTTCTGGAACAACTCAACAGCCAGTTCACCAAGCCACAGAAGCCAGACTGCCTCAATCTTTACAGTTCACGATGTATGAGACCCAAATCATTTGCATAAAAAACATGCATCTGACATTTAAGCTTGGTGGCATATTAATACAACAGACTATAAACCAAAACCAAAACCGTTGCCGTAATTGATTCCGACTCCTAGTGACCCTATAGAAGAGAGCAGAACTGCCCCATAGGGTTTCCAGGGCTGCAACCTTTACAACAGCAGACTTCCACATCTTTCTCCTGTGGCACGGCTGGTAGGTTTGAACCGGGGACCTTTAGGTTAGCAGCCAAGTGTTTTAACCACTGCGTCACCAAGGCTCCGTACAATAGACTATACAATGGTAAAAATCAACCAGAGCTACACATACAAACATGACTGAATCTCACAAACAATGCTGAGTAAAACATTTAGTATGGTACCATGCAAAAAATCGCTCACATTATTTATGTAAGAAAGAGAATTTACACCCAGGCATCAATGTTCTGCTGGGCTCTGGCCCAGAGTGTCCTGAGAAGGACCAATGTTCCTCACTGCCCCTCGTGCTGGGAAAGTGGACACACGCGTGCAGGTGCCCAGGGGTTCAGACACTGTGTGTGGTGATAAACGCCATCCCACAGCTTCCCACACAAAGTTCAAAGGCTACTCTGCCTCTACAAAACCACCATGGGATGGTTATCTCAATTTACCATTTCCGGTTTATTAGGTTTACAACCTGCCACTGGAATGAGAGAAAGGGCTTTGGGTTTGGAAGATTTCTTCCTTAAAACTGGAACTGAGAAAACACCAGGCAACAGCTGGGCAAGTTCCACCTGCCAATGCTGACGGCCACCTGATGCTGGGCACAGGGGGCAGGGCCTCCCCATACACCCATGTGAGGTCAGCGCCTGGGCAATCCCGGCAGACGGAAACCTCACGGAGCAGTGTTTTTGTGATTTAAACCACAGAGCTACTTCAAGGCTACATGGTGCTCTTACAGAAGAACATGCACCAGGGAACTTACTGAGATGTCAACAACTGTCTGGATGGCCTTCTCTTTTCTCTTTATGAAGTCATCATCCTGCAAGACAAAACAGAGGTTAAACAAACTCTATGTGAAGATTAAAACTCAACTGCACTGCTCAGAAATCTGCCTAATAACCTGACTTCTAATGACTACTTTGCCTGCATTAGTCTCAATTTTCTAAGAAGTTGGCATATATTCCCCATAGGAAGGGGCTAGGACCTCTGCAGATGGCTTCAGCATGGTCCCTATAGCCTGGTAAGAAAAAGAGGGACCAGGAAGTAGAACAGTGAAGACAAGAGTTCTCATTTCAAATGCTTATGAGCGCTAAAACCTCGCACAAGTTACCTACTCTCTGAACCTCAGTGTCTCTATCTTAGGGGGCAGTTGTGAGGATTAAATAATACCGGCATGTGACGTACTGGGATCGTAACGTATAAGTATTTGATGTTGTTCTTACTTGCCGTTAAGTGGATTCCAACTCATGGCAACTCCGTATGTGCAGGGTAGAACTGCTCCATAGGACCTTTCAAGAGCAGACAGCCAGGTCTGCCCTCCAAGGCGCCTCTGGGTCGGCTAAAACCGACAATCTTCTGGCTAATAGTCAGGCACTTAGCTGTTTGCACCACCTAGGGACTCCAAGAATTTGATAGCTATTGTTGCTGTTGCTGTGTGCTGTCGCGTCAATTCCAACTCACAGAGGCCCTACAGCTATTAGCTATTATTACTGTTGCTGTAATTATTATTACAGGAATGTCCTAGGTAGGTGGTCCCTCAAAACACATGGGACTATATAAAAATACACTCTTGGTCTTATAATTTACTAAGTTTTAGATCAAGTACCGAAATTCAGTGTCAGGTCAGTGTTTCCTGAACTGTTTCATGCAACATTATTCCTATAAAGTGTTCCTAGAAAAAAGGGTTCCACGATTCAACCAACTTAGAACACAGGACAGAGCACGCTTCAGCCTGAGGTTCACAGTGTACTGATTACAGAGTAATCCTGTGGTAAAGAAACCAGTTTAACTCTGTTTAACTGGTGCTACCAAAACTTACTTCATCAAAGAACACCATGCTCAGGCAAAATATCTTGTTGTTGTTGTTATTAGGTGGAGTCGACTCGGTTCCGACTCCTAGCGACCCTATACACAACAGAATGAAACACTGCCAGGTCCTGCACCATCTTCACAATCGTTATGTTTGAGCTCACTGTTGCAGCCACTGTGTCAATCCATCTCATTGAAGGTCTCTTATTGGCTGACCCTCTACTTTACCAAGCATGATGTCCTTCTCCAGGACCTGGTCCTTCACGATAACAGGTCCAAAGTACATGAGATGAAGTCTCACCATTCTTGTATCTAATGAGCATTCTGGCTGTATTTCTTTAAAGACAGATTTGTTCGTTCTTCGGGCTGTCCATAGTATATCCAATATTCTTCACCGACACCATAAATCAAAAGTATCAATTCTTCTTCAGTCTTTCTTATTCATCATCCAGCTTTCACAAGCATATGAGGCGACTAAAAACACCATGGCTTTGGTCAGACGCACTTTAGCCCTCAAAGTGACATCTTTGCTTTTTATACTTTAAAGAGGTTTTTTGGAGCAGATTTGTCCAATGCAATGAGTGGTTTGATTTCCTGAATGCTGCTTCCACAGGCGTTGATTGTGGATCCAAGTAAAATGAAATCCTTGACAACTTTGATGTTATCTCCGTTTACCATGATGTTGCTTATTGGTCCAGTTCTGAGGATTTTTGTTTCTTTATGTTGAGGTGTAATCTATACTGAAGGCTGTGGTCTTTGATCTTCATCAGTAAGTGCTTCAAGTTCCCTTCACTTTCAGCAAGCAAAGTTGTGTCATCTACATACTGCAGGTTGTTAATGAGTTTTCCTCCAATCCTGATGCCCTATTCTTCTTCATATAGTCCAGCTACTCAGATTATTTGCTCAGCATACAGAATGAATAAGTATGGTGAAAGGATACAACCCTGACGCACACCTTTCTTAACTTTAAATCACACAGTATCCCCTCGGTCTGTCTGAAGGACTGCCTCTTGGTCTAAGTAAAGGTTCCTCAAGAGCACAATTAAGCATTCTGGAATTTCCATTCTTTGCTATGTTATCCATAATTTGTTACGATCCACACAGTCGAATGTCTTAGCATAGTCAATAATATACAGGTAAACATCTTTCTGGTATTCTCTTTAAGCCAAGATCCATCTGACATCAGCAATGATATCCCTGGTTCCACGTCCTTTTCTGAATCCAGCTTGAATTTCTGGCAATTCCTTGTTGATGTACTGCTGCAACTGCTTTTGAATGATTTTCAGCAAAATTTGACTTTTGTGTGATATTAACGATATTGTTTGATAATTTCCACATTCTGTTGGATCACCTTCGGAATGTGTACAAATATGAATCCCTTCCAGTTGGCTGGCTGGGTACCTGTCTTCCAAATTTCTTGGCACAGACAAGTGAGCACTTCCAGCACTGCAACCATTTGTTGAAACATTTCAATTGGTATTCTGTCAGTTCCTGGACTCTTGTTTTTCACTAATGCCTTCGGTGCAGCTTGGACCTCTTCCTTCAGTACCACCAGTTCTTGATCATATGCTACCTCCTGAAATGGCTGAATGTCAACCAATTCTTTTTGGTACAGTGACTCTGTGTATTCCTTCCCTCTTCTTTTGATGCCTCCTGTGTCATTAAATACTTTCCCTGGAGAATCCTTAAATATTGCAACCCGAGGCTTGGATTTTTCCTTCAGTTCTTTCAGCCTGAGAAATGCCGAGCCTGTTCTTCCCTTTTTGGTTTTCTAACTCTAGGTCTTTGCATGTTTTATTACAATACTTTACTTTGTCTTTTCAAGCTGCCCTTTGAAATCTTCTGTTCAGCTTTTTTACTTCATCATTTCTTCCTTTTGCTTTAGCTACTCTACATTCAAGAGCAAGTTTCAGAGTCTCTTCTGACATCGACACTGGTCTTTCTTTCCTGTCTTTTTAATGACTCTTGCTTTCTTCATGTATGATGTCCTTAATGTCATTCCACAACTCGTCTGGTCTTCAGTCATTAGTGTTCTATGCATCAAATGGATTCTTGAGATGGCCTCTAAATTCAGGTAAGATATACTCAAAGTTATATTTTGGCTCTCATGGACTTGTTCTAATTTTCTTCAACTTCAACTGGAACTGGCATATGAGCAATTGACGGTCTGTTCCACAGTTACCCCTGGCCTTGTTCTGACTGATGATACTGAGCTTTTTCATCGTCTCTTTCCACCGACGTAGTCGATCTGATTCTTGTGTATTCCATTTGGTGAAGTCCACATGCATAGTCACTGTTCATGTTGCTGAAAAACGTAAATTTGCCGTGAAGAAGTCGCTGGTCTTCATGGTCTCGGGGAACATCTAGCTCCATTGGCATGACACAGCTTATAAAGACAATGCTCTACATTCTACCTTGGTGAGAGTGTCCGGGGTCTTAAAAGCCTGTGAGCGGCCATCTAAGATACTCCACTGGTCTCATCCCTTCGGGAGCAAGGGAGAATGAAGAGAACAGGATACAAGGAAAAGATTAGTCCAAAAGACCAACTGTCCACAGCTACCAAGGCCTCCACCGGACTGAGTCCAGTACAGCTAGATGGTGCCCAGCTACCACCACTGACTGCTCTGACCAGGATCACAACAGAGGGTTCTGGACAGAGCTGGAGAAGGATGTAGAGCATAATTCTAACTCACAAAAAAAAAGACCAGATTTACTGGCCTAAAGGAGACTGGAGAAACCTCGAGAGTATGGCCCCCAGACACCCTTTTAGCTCAGTGGTGAAGTTACCTCCGAGGTTCATGTTCAGCCTGGGAGTGGACAGCCCTGCAAAACCAAATGAGACTAACGAGCTACAGAGTCCAGTGACAAGGGCCAGAAGGCAGAAGGGGACAAGGAAGCTGGTGATAGGGAACACAAGATTGAGTAAGGATATGGTTGATGTGTTGTGAGATTGTTAACCATTGTCATAGGGCAACATTTGTAGTAACTGTTAAATGAGAAACTATTTTGTCCTGTAAGCCTTCATCTTAAGTGAGAATAACAGCACAATTGGAAGAGCATAGTCAATGTCATTGAACTGTTTATGTAGAAATTTTTGAAACGGTGTATCTTTGGCTATGTGTATTTTCACCAAAAAAAAAAAAAGATTGAGAATTTAGAGGGTTAATATGTTGTGGGGTTGTTAACCAATGTCATAAAACAACATGTGCACTACTGTTTCATGAGAAACTATTTGTTCTGTAAGCCTTCACCTGAAGTACAATAAAATATTAAAAAAAAAGAAAAAAAAAAGAAGTCGTTGGTCTTGCAAAATTCTATCATGTGATCTCCGGCATCATTTTTGTCACCAAGGCCTTATTTTCCAACTAGCGATCCTTCGTTTCAAACTTTCGCATTCCAATCACCAGTAATTATCAATGCATCTTAATTACATGTCTGATCAATTTTAGACTGCGGAAATTGGTAAAAGTCTTCAATTTCTTCATCTTTGGCCTTAGTGGTCGGTGAGTAAATTTGAGTAATAGTCATATTAACTGGTCGTCTTTGTAGGCGTATGGATATTATCCTATCATTGAGAGCACTGTACTTTAGGATAGATCCTGAAATGTTCCTTTTGATGATGAACGCAACACCATTCTTCTTCAAGTTGTCATTCCCGGCATAGTAGACCATATGACTGTTTGATTCAAAATGGCCAATATCAGTCCATTTCAGCTCACTAATGCCTAGCACATTGATCTTTATGTCTTCCATTTCATTTTTTACAACTTCCAATTTTCCTAGATTCACACATACATTCCACGTTGATTATTAATGGATGTCTGCAGCTGTTTCTTCTCATTTTGAGACGTACATCAGCAAATGAAGGTCCTGAAAACTTGACTCCATCCGTGTCATTAAGGTCGACTTTTCTTTGAGGAGGCAGCTCTTTCCTAGTCGTATTTTGAGTGCCTACCAACCTGAGGGGCTCAGCTTTCGGCACTATATCAGACAATGTTCTGCCACTATTCATAAAGTTTTTACTAGCCAGTTTTTTCAGAAGTAGACTGCCAGGTCCTTCTTCCTAGTCTGTCTTAATCTGGAAGCTCCACTGAAGCCTGTCCACCAAGGGTGATCCTGCTGGTATTTGAAATACTGGTGGCAAAGCTTCCAGTATCACAGCAACACGCAAGTCACCACAGTTCTACCAACTGATGGACACATGGTGGGAAACGTCTTACCATCCCACATAACAAGAATTCTGTGGAAGACAAGCTCAGAAATAATTTTAGCAACACTTTCAGAAATCCTGCAGTGAGCAGAAGAGTGATGTTGGGAGACACAGCCTTCGCCTTGTGGGATGTCCTGAGAGGACGTGCTCAGGAGGAGGGCATGTGGAGAGGTGGGCAGGGAGCACTCAAGGTGGAACAAAGATGTACAAAGGCAGAACAGGAATCTGCATTCCACACTCAGGGAACTGTAGTAGTAAGACTTGAACTACCGAGACTGTGGTCACAAGGTCTCTCCAAACACTTGCCTGAATGTTTAACAAAATAAATCACAGCAGAGTCTCTCAGGACTTCCTGACCACTACTCTGCCCTCAATCCCTGCTCACCGAAAGCATGCAATGGAAGACACCACCACCATCTCCCAGTTTCAGAGGGCAGCTTCTAATGCCAGCCCCTTTAAAATCTGGGAATGGGGGAGGGCAAAGCCTGTCTCCCCACCACCCAAATAACCCAACCAGAAAAATAACCTCTGAGGAACAGGGGAAACTGCACAAAAAGTGGTACAAAATTGTATAAGCCTAATAAAGAGGAGAACATTATCTAAATGATGCTACATAAACAGAACAGCTTATACTGGCATTAAAAATGGATGTCATGCTAATTTTAAAAAGATTAAGTGAAGAAGGAAAACAAAATCATTTATGTATAGTGTGACCACAACCATAGGAAAATACATGCAAAAATATGAACGAAATACAATAAAACTTTAATAGTGTTTGGCTAGGTGAACAGGTTATGGGTGACTTTTCTTCTTTGTATGCCTTTGTATTTTCCAGATTTTTTGCAATTACTATCTATTATTTTTACGATGGAAGGCAAGAGATCTTTATTTTCTAAAAAAGAATATTACTTCAAAAAATAAAAGACAAAAAAAGAAAAATTTATACGGTTTGAAAGTCAGTGCCTACTTAAAGAGGCAGTTCAAATGAATGAGGTGGCCCAGTTTCAATACTTGGGTGAGGCCCAGCAGGGGTAGAGATGCCAAGCTGAGGAGTGTGTCAGGAGGGGGATCGGGGGAAGTACCCCTTCTGGAACCTGACCAGGCTGCTCCTTCCAGGGGAGTCTCCAAGCGTGCTCTCACGTTCTCAGATGAGCAAGAAGAGCAGAATACTAACCTCTGGAAGACTGTAGGTTTTCTGAAACTGGGATACGGAATAGGAGCGGATGTAGTCGCCCATCTCTTCTTTTGTTTCTATGGCTCGCTTCACCAGCCACTGGGGAGGGAAGTTGGAAAACGTGAGCTGACTGGAACAAAATCCCACTGAAGTGAAGGCCAACTCAGAGATGGTACAACTTGTGAACCCAAATCATTGTACTCAACCGACCAGGTGATGAGAATTACCAACACACTGTCCTCTGGGAAAGCAACCGGCTGGGCCTCTGAGATGCTAAGGTCCAGCGGGCCCTGGTGCTGAGCAGCTGTACAGGCACTTTAAATGCTGACTTCACGTCCTCGAGTCTCAGTTCCCCTCTTGGTAAACTGGAAGTAAGAACATCAGTTCCTTCCACCTCCCAGAGCTACAGTGGGAGGAAAGGAAATCACAAGTACTAGAGTGTTTTGTAAACACCTGAAGCACAACACAAACACGGCTACTCCCTAGGACCACAGGCCCCAGTGGCGTATCTTAATGCAAATCTCCTTCCTATGCTGCTTACACAGACCAGAGAAATGGAAGCTAGTATAACCCTATGTTTGATAGATGGGGGAGAAAAGCCCTTAACTATTCAAATCTGAGAACAGTGTGTACTGAGTACACAGCTGTAGGCACCAGGTCAGCCTGACACACGCATTATAGTGCTGGCCATGACTGGCAGAACCTCAAGCTCGGAGAGACCACATAATTTGCTCATTGATACACAGCTAGCAAGCCTCCAGACTGAAAGTCACAACTCTGAGGCTCTTCCACACCAGAAGTCTGACAAATGGGTTTTATTACATGTTTCCCAGTTCTACTGGGCTGATACAGAGATGCTGCTTCTCATTTCCCCCCATCTAAAACTCACACCTATTTAAAACTAACTTTAAAAGACTTCATTAAACACACATGGGGGCACGTGCGCACATGCACACACACGCGCAAGCACACATGCACACCACCTGCAGAAGACCCAGGTGCACTAAGGGTAAAAGAGCGCAAAGCGCAACAATGGCCTTTGGGTCTCCTCATTGGCTCTCCATTCATCCCGTGTCCCCGAAGAACGTTTATTGAGCACTTGTGACATCTCAGCACTGGCTCAGAGGTGAGAGAAGTATTTTTAACAGACAAAATTTCAGACATATGAAAAAGATATATATAAAAATATAACAAACACCCACTGGCCCACCAGTAAAATAAAAAATTTCAAAGATAGCTGAAAGCTCCTGGGTATCCACCCCAGATCTCAGTCTCTTCCTCCTCCCAAGAGGTAACCACTAACCTACAACCGCATTTATCACATCTGCATTTGTACCCATCTATATACTTCTGCTACCTATGGGGGTTGCCACTAACAATATGTTGTCCTATTTTCCACATTTTTTAAATGTTGCATAAACTGTATCATACTGTATTATTCTACAACCTTTTTTTACTCATATAACATTATGTTTTTATTTTTTGGTTACTCATGTTGGTATGTATTGCTGTAGTTCATTTTCTCTCTTAAATAAGATTCTTTTAGATCAATTCCCACAACTATGCACTCTCCTGCTAATGGACATTGGGGAAGTTTCCGGTTTTCTGATATTACAAACACTGCTGGCAACATTCCGGTACAAGCCTCGTAATGTACAGGTGGCAGAGACTCTCCACGGTAAATGGCTGGGAGGGTCTGCACATCTTCAACGTCACTAGACATCAGCAAATTCTCCCCATAGGGGCTGTATTAAGGCATCTTTCCATCAGCACTGTGTGAGCTACGGCTCTCCTCCTATCCACACTTGGTGTTGTCAGACTTCTTTTCGGCCACAGTGATGGATATGAAATGGTATCTCATTGTGGTTTTAATTTGCGTTTCTCTGATTACTGATGAGGACGAGCATCTTTTCTCTTGTTTATTGGCCATTGGGGTTGACCCTTTTTTAAAAAATGGGATTTCTATTGGATAAAAAAGGGCTACCCTTTTTTATACTGGATTATTTGCATTTTTCAAACTTGCAAGCATTCTTTATGTATTCTGAATACTCATCCTGTTACTTACATTCAGTTCTTCAAGTCAATGGTTTGTCCTCTGACTTTTTAAATACAACTCCATCCTTTAATGTCTTTAATTTTAATGTGATAGTATACATCAGTCTTTCTCCTTTATGGTTTGTGCTTCATTTTCTCTTATTTAATAAATCTCTCCCTCCTTCAAGCAGAAGAATTATTTTTCACTTGCTATTTTGCAGTCAAGCACAAGCTGTTTAATTTTTAACCCTGGCCACCCAGGAAAGTGATTTCCAACAGTATATTTACCATATAAAGATGCTACTCCAGTAGACCAATTTGATAGCTTGCTATATTACTTTGACCTATCACCTACAATGATTTACCCTTGGAAAACTTTGTTACAATGAAAGACCTAATTATTATAGTAATGAAAACAAAGTTTTGATATCACTGTAATGCATTTAAATTAGAGCTCTTTCATTAACCAACTGTGTGATCTTAACAAGTAAGCCTCAGTTTCCTGGTCTATGAAATGGAAATAATAACAGGACCTAATTCCTAGGACTATTATGGGAATCGAGTAAAATAATGGTTTATACATTTAGTATAATTTTTAGCATACAGTAAGCATTTAATGAACTTTACCAAGCCAACTGCCGTCAAGTTGATTCCGACTCATGGCGACCCTATAGGACAGAGTAGAACCGCCACACAGGGTTTGCAAGGAGTGGCTGGTGAATTCGAACTGCTGACCTGTTGGTTAGCGGCTGAGCTCTCAACCACGGTACCAGCAGGGCTCTGTGAACACTGGCTATTATTATTAGATTACATACAGCACTCTAGCACATTAGGAGACACCAAACAAACGGCAGCAGTATTTGTAACAAACTTTCAAAGGGGACTCAGCATGTTTACTTATTGTCACATCTACCAAGTAAACTAATCAGGCTGCTACTGACTCCGAGAACCTCCTTTCAGGCTGCAGGGCACTCCCTGCTGTGGTACGACTGAAAACAAGTACCGTCTATCTTCTCACGCGAGTGATGACACAAGGAAACAAGTGGCCTGAAACCTGTCCTCTTGGCCACGGGTACCTTTCCATGCACTTCCTGCCTTACATCTGTGGGCAACAAGCTCCCCAGGTGACCTGGTGCCACCGTCATGCTCGGAACCTCTGGTCTCAGCCACAGAGACTTACAAGTGAGCATCTAACCAGCTTAGACAGTTCAGAGGAACTGAAAGGAAAAGGTCATGGCATCACCTGGGGGGTCTGGGTTTGACTATCCCCACTGGGACACAGAACTAAGTCTCCTGGGTTTTAAATAGAAAACAGTCAGAAAAACTGCAACTTCCAAAGAGAGGGAAGACTCATCCAGCGAGGCCTCAAGCTCTGCTGCTCCCAGAGCTATGGTCAAATAGGTAGTGACCTCCCCTTTGGAGGAAACGTGTGAGCAGAGGTGGATGCCATCTGTCAGGGCTGCCCTTCCCTCTCCAGAGGGACACAACATCTCCAGTCCGTGGACAGCAGCTGTGCTTCCTTGAGAGCACAACACTTGAAAGGAGACAACGGCACGGGGCATGGTGGCCGCACAGGACAGGGCAGCTGGATCCAGAGAAAATGATGGTTAGGAAGTAGCTGCCCAGGGTAGGGGTGGCTGGAAATAACCATACAAGGAATATTCTTTTATTGTTAGTTATCTCCCTTTTCACTCTGCCACTTCATCACAGTCTACCTCCAACAGTGACCTCAGGCACTGACTAAAACCCAGAAGAGGCAGAAGATCAGATAGCATTCAGAACTACTCAAGCCCCTCGCTCACAACCCCACCCCAGCACCACCACCTGGGACGACTTAAGAGGCTGACTCATGGCTCAACTCAATTCAGCTCGACCTTCCTTTGGATCTGGAGACCCAGTTTCTAGCCTTTTATTTCTGCTTCCCTTTCAGATCACCCTATCATATGCACCCTCTTCCTCCATTAAATTAATCCCAGATCTATTCTGAGTTACTTCTTGACTCGATCCTGAAGACTGTGATAAATAACACCTGTTATGTCATAGGATTCACCTGGAAAAATGATAACTGATCACTCTGTAGTAAGCAAGTTTCAGAGATCCTAGTGTGAAGGGCTGTGGAGGAAACCCCCTGAACAGCCAACTCTGCCACAGGTTGCCCCAGCACTTGAGAAAAATGCCTACCTTCACTGGATTCACATGCCCAGCGTGGGAGAGAAAGATGTGACCCAGAACTGCCAGTGGCTGGAAGCTAGACCCGCTTTTTTCTAAGCTGGTATTCAGAGAGTCACTATAGCATTGCTGAATAGTGTGAACATGGGGAGTGAGCTTCTAGAGTCACGCAAGACAACTACATCAGTGGTTCTAGCTGTCCATGGCTGGTCCAACTGCTGGTCCATGGCTGCTTTCACTGGCTGCCAGCAAAACAGGAAAAAACATGGGCATGTGGCAAGTTTTTCATAACACTAAATATATTCAATTTGAAGGTGTGGTGCAGTGAATTACTCAATATGGTCCTTCTATCCATGGTCTTGTGACTCCCACAAAATGACTGGGTGGTGTTATGCAAATAAGGTGTTTGTGGCCCACCAAGGGGATTGCACAGCCTGCTAATAATGCAAATAAGGTGCAGGGAACCCCTATGGGGGTGGGACTATGCAAATAAGGTATGTGGAGCCTTAATGAGGGGATTGGTCAGTTTTGCCAACCTGCTAGGTTTAAAATGACCCAATCCCAAAGACTGGGAGGGTGGACCTCAATACCATCAAGAGGAAGAGCCAGGAATGAAGTAAGTCCTCTAGACCCAGGGTGCCCATGCTGAGAACCTCCTAGACCCAGGACACTGAGAGAGCTGTAACACTTGAGACAGTGAGAAGAAGAGCACAGAAACAGTGGCAGCAGAACCACGAGACTGGCGTAAGATGGCACAGTGGGCTTCCTGGCCCACAGAGCAAGAGAGCTGAGAATCTTTGGGCAGAAGGCTTGTTGATGTAAGCGGGGTGCCTCCAGGCACTTGTTGGTGGATCCAGGCTTGCCGACTCACTGAGCTAGAGAGCTGAGCGCCTTCAGGCCAAGGCTTACTGGTGGAGTGGGGCGCCTTCGGGCACTTACTGATGGAGCTAAAGAGCTTTGTTAACAGGGCAGAGGCCAGGGCCAAGAAGAGCCTGTCCCAAGGGGGCCGAGAGGAAGCCTGTCCCGAGGGGGCCGAGAGGAAGCCTGTCCCGAGGTGGCCGAGAGGAGCCTGTCCTCAGGAGGCAGAGAGAAGCCTGTCCTCAGGGGGCTGAGAGGAGCCTGTGCTGAGGGGGCCGAGAGAAGCCTATGCTGAGGGGGCTGAGAGGAGCCTGTCCTGAGGGGGGCCGAGAGGAGCCGGTCCTAAGGGGGCTGAGAGGCCCCTGTCCTCAGGGGGCTGAAAGGAGGCCTGTCCTCAGGGGGCCGAGAGGAGCCTGTCCTGAGAGGGCTGGAAGGAGGCCTGTCCTCAGGGGGCCGAGA